GAATTAATTATCACTGGTTGAGAATTGAAATTAAGAATTGATTAGTGGAGTCGGAAATCCAATACACTCACCCACATTTGATTTAAAACCATTTTTTTATTACCTTCGTAGTTATAGAACGTAGTCAACTAAAAATCAACCATCTTTTGTTACATTTGCGAATTTAAATATATCGAATACTCTAAAATTGAACCTTATTTTCTGTGGGACGATAATTCACTCATCACAATTATTACTTGTACAACGAACTCGTACGCTTGCGAGATTTTTGCGTAACAGGCAGCGCCCGTTTTGCTTTGTGCTTCCCGGCTCTTGCTTTGTGCTCGACTGTGGCTTGTCTCCTTCTTGTCTAGCCTTTGTGGCTGAACCTTTGAGGCTACATCATCTTCTACACCGAGTTCTTTGTGGGCAAAACGAAGCAACCGGTTTGGGAGGTGTTGGTTGGGATTGGGTTTGTCATTTGTGGTGTCGATTCGAAGTAACTCAGTCCGGTTTTTGGTGTGATTGGAGCACTATATTCAACAATTACATTATGAAAAAGGTTGAAACAGCAAATGGTTGGTAGCACTTTTAACTAATGTGGGATTTCCAGTTCTTATCCCGTTCATTTTCATCTCAAAACACAAAAATTATACTACACAAATGAACAAAACAACATAGTACCTTAATCCTTGTTTCATTCTATATTTTACTAGACATTTTTGGTGCATTTATTTGTATGACGTACTCAATTGGACTCCAATATCTTCCAGTCACAACCTCTCTCGATCGAATTGGTGAAAGCAAATTGAGATTCGATGCAATTTTCTACTATTTCCTCCATGGACAAAAAAAATACTCCTATAGTAAACTCTCTTGTCGTTCTCACCATTTCCTCGACCCTCCTTGTATTTCAAAGTGACAGTACGGGGGCTAGAACAAAACCTTGAAAAGTAAGCATATACTAGGTTTTGTATGCACATGTGCAGCCCCTGCTGTTGGTGTTGTCTGTCACAACTCATCTTTCGAAAAATGATCAAAAGGGAAACTCTTAGGGCGATAATTGAAACACACCTAATTAAATAAAAAAAGAATAATTTAAAAATATCATAATTACATTATGATTGCATCAGATTGATTATACATATGCATGTGGAACCAAAGATGGGGTTGTCAAATGTGCAGATGACTATTTATTAATCATTAATGGTTGGACACTATTGTACGTCACTTTCTTGCTTCGATATTTCTTAAGTTGAAGGTGACACTTTATCATCTAAACAATGGCGAAAAATCAATACAAGTACTGTGGATTGACTTCAATGACTAGTAGCCAATAATAATCAAATACGAGGCATGTGAGCAGTAAGCAAATAAGATATTTAATTAAGGAGCTGTTTGGTACAAATTAAAATTAGCTGGGAATTGATTTTATTATCGTTTATTTTTAAAAAATGGAACCCACTCTCTCACAACTGGGTCAACAATTACGGCCATAACGTTCCAAATTCTGATTAATAGTGTTTCCAGACGGGCTAAGTTTTGAGTAAACCTCAATTCTCAACGAACACTAGAGCCATGTCCTAGCTAGACTATATTATGCGTAAGATGAATCTATGAATTTATGTAGAAGGTCGAAAGGTGTGACTCCTAGTTAAATGTTACGATGAGAGATTCCTATATGATGAATTCTGAGTAGTAATATCTTAATAGAGAATATATGTGATCTTAATGGTTATGAGAAGATCAGATCATCTCTCCCTTGAAGAAAGAACAATAATCATAATATAAACAAAAATCTCACATTTCTCTTATCAAATCATTTCAATCGACCCTAGACAATACTCAATATCAAAAAAATTAAAAGGAAAGAAAAGGTTATATACAAAAGAAAATGGCATAATCTATCTTCACATAAGTATGGCCAAATAAATTTGGCCCTTTCCCACAGTATATACCGTGGGTCAAAAAAGTACGCCAATATATTGGCAAGCCAATCCATGGATTTGAAGAAAATTTAATTAAAATGACAAATCTTTGATGACTTATCATATGCTTATAGGACAAAACCCATCTCCCACTTGCAATCTCTGATGGGCAGAGTGGATGAATCCGACAACCTTTGAAAAGAAAGTCAATAGCAGGTATACGTCGGTTCCTATTTATGAGTGTGTAAAACGTAGTCAGAGTAGTGATATAGTTCGCTTCTTATTTGCTTTTGGTGTTGAATACCTAATTCTTTATAAACTAGGCCAACTGCCTGTGTTCTTTGTGGTCTTCATGATAATTGCCATGGGAGACACTCAAGAACTGCAGACAAAGGTTAATGGTGAGATTTTGTATTCAAGTCAAATTATTGTTAGATAGAGTAAAAATTTAATTGGGTTATTTCTAATTGGGAAGAGGTTTTCTGTCTATTGCTCAAAATGAAGTGACGACGTTTTTTTCCAAGAATCTCTCTCTCTCTCTCTCTCTCTCTGCTGCATGCATGCCAAATTTGATCTATAAATCAGATAAACCTAGGAAGTTAAAATTCTATAAATAAGTTCGGTTCGTATTTACCGTCTCACGTTGAGGATGAACCAGTATAAACACTTGTTTTCTGCGATTTCATTCGATTTATTATTTTCTCGTAGCCTTTAACAAGTTTGGGGTTGTTTAATTCATCAGATCATTGGAAATCTGAAGAGGAACCAAAATATTCACCTGAAAATGCAGAAGGCCACCATCAAGCCTCGTCGGGTAAGCCTAAGCAGTACAAATGGTGGCTTAAAATGGCCATCTATGGCCTATTTGTTCTCGGAGGGCAGTCAGTAGGCACCCTCTTAGGTAGAGTATATTTCGAAAATGGTGGAAACAGCAAATGGATGGCTACACTTGTACAACTTGTGGGATTTCCAGTTCTTTTCCCATTTTTATTCATCTCAAAAGACAAAGATGATCACAATACACAAGTTAACGCAAAACAACCTAGTACCTTAATCCTAGCTTCAATCTATGTTGTACTAGGCATTTTTCTTGCTTTTATTTGTCTTATGTACTCAATTGGACTCCAATATCTTCCAGTCACAACCTATAGTATAATTTGTGCATGCCAATTGGGATTCAATGCACTTTTCTCCTTTTTCCTCAATGCACAAAAAATCACTCCTTATATTGTGAACTCTCTTGTACTCCTCACCATCTCTTCCACCCTCCTCGTATTCGAAACGGACACTAGTGGGGAGTCAAACAAAACCTCGAAAGGTAAGTACGTACTAGGTTTTGTATGCACATTTGCAGCCTCTGCTGGTTATGCTCTAATGATGTCTGTAACACAACTTGTCTTTCGCAAGATCATCAGAAGAGAAACTCTTCGTGCCATAATCGACATGTCAGTTTATGAATCTTTGGCTGCTTCTTTTGCAATCCTAATAGGACTGTTTGCAAGTGGAGATTGGAGGAAATTGAGTTCAGAAATGGAGGGTTTTAAATTGGGGAAAGTGTCATATGTTATGAACTTGTTTTGGACAGCAGTTTCTTGGCAGATTTTTAATGTCGGAAGTTTTGGGCTTATATTTAAGGTTTCCTCATTGTTTTCCAATGTTATTAGTGTCTTAGGTGTGCCTATTGCTCCAATTTTGGCTGTGATTTTTCTCCATGACAGGCTTAAAGGATTGAAGGCAATGGCCATGGTACTTGCCATGTGGGGGTTTGTTTCTTATATGTACCAGCATTATCTTGATGATTTGAAGACCAAGGCTAAAACAAAATCCCAAGGCGAAAACTAATGTGACCTTTTGTGGTTACTAAAGAATGGTGGGGATTATAGGTAGATCGATAGAACAATGTTTAAGCTAATTAATAGAGAATCTTTCATCTCTAGTCACTTGTAATGTTTAAGGATTAGTTAAATTCCTTCTAGTATTTACTTTATAGTTCTTTACACTAACAAATATATTGGCTACGAAACAAGAGCAAAATTATGTATCGGTGAAATTTGATAGATTATCTCACCTAGAAATAGTGAACATGTTCGACCCAATATATATGTGAAATTATCATTTCTCTTGAACCTTAGACCCTATTTAATATTTTATCGAGAAATTTTATAACTCCCACTGCTTGTATATTTATCTTGTCACTGCTTTTGCTTCTCTCTATCGTGTCGTAGTCACCAATCAACTGAACAGGACAACAATTTATTGTAGTATGACAGTTGTGAATTTAAGGTGCATGTGGTGGTGGGTTGGAGGTGGATATGGTGGTGCGTATGAGGTGGTAGTAAATTTGAGGTGCAGGTGACGGGTTGAAGGTGCAACCTGGTGGAGTGGTGGTAGTTGTGGATTTTAGGTGAAGGTGGTGGATTGTGAATTTGAGATGGTGATGACGACGACAATTTGAATGGTGCAAAGGTGGTGTGGGTGGTATGAGGAGAGATGGGGTGAAATGAAAAGTGATCGTGACCAATTAATTGTATAATTTATGATATATTAAAATATGTGATTTGCTATTACATATTTTAATTGTGATCTATAAACTGTGTCTTTGTATGTGTGATTTTGTTTGATTTGTAACCAATATGTGATCGTGACTATAAATTGTGTTATTGTGACATGATCTATTTAATTAAATTATATGTTACAACATATTATCAATGTCATAAATGTGACCATCTAATTTTTTAAAAAAAATTCATAATTTTTTTTTTCTTTTTTAAAAATTGTATTGAAACATTTATAGTAATGAAAAATTTTTTATGACTATGATGTGCCTATTAGATAAAATAATGTGGAAATTACATCAACACAGACTTCTAACTTTTTCAATTCAAAAATCAAGTTTAGAGTTTATATACAAAAATCAGATGATGGTTTAATATTTTAACATTAATGATAATATTACAATTAATTTATATACTCATACCCTATCCCATCCACCCCATTCAAACCCTAAATCATTTTCTATCTTATTCCTCTCCATTCTCTCTTCTCCTCTCTTGTCTCCCTCTCTCTACCCTCTCCCTCAGACTGTCGTCTCAGGAGAGTGCCGCTGCACATCTAGCAGCAGCATTTTACCGTTACTCAACGGTGCTGCGTAGAGAAGCTACACGACACCGTTGTGTGCGGCTCATCACAATGTCCCTAGGACCAATTGATTTGATCATTTTTTATTGTAAAATAAGTAGTGATATGTAACATTTGTAATCTATATATGACCAATAAATAATACGTGACCAATTCGTTTGACAATTTGTGACTGTAAAATAACTTATGATGATAATTTGTGATTGTAAAATAAGTTGTGATATGTGAAATTTGTGAATTGTGATCGAGAAATATTACACGATATATTAATTTGATAATCTGTGATCGATAAAAAAAAGTGTGACCTATAAAATTTGTGATTGTGACCAAGAGGTAATACATGACCAATTAATTTAATTTTTGAAACTTAAAAATAAACATGACCAATTAATTTAATTTTTGAAACTTAAAAATAATTTTCGTAATTTTAAAATTGTGTATTATTACTACCTTAAATATGATTCCCCCCCCCCCCCCCCAACCCCCTCGCCACCCAAAAAAAATAATCTCTTCGCAAGATCATCAGAAGAGAAACTCTTCGTGCCATAATCGACATGTCGGTTTATGAATCTTTGGCTGCATCTTTTGCAATCCTAATAGGGCTATTTGCAAGTGGAGATTGGAGGAAATTGAGTTCAGAAATGGAGGGTTTTAAATTGGGGAAAGTGTCATATGTTATGAACTTGTTTTGGACAGCAGTTTCTTGACAGATTTTTAATGTTGGATGTTTTGGGCTTATATTTAAGGTTTCTTCATTGTTTTCCAATGTTATTAGTGTCTTAGGTGTGCCTATTGCTCCAATTTTGGCTGTGATTTTTCTCCATGACAGGCTTAAAGGATTGAAGGCAATGGCCATGGTACTTGCCCTGTGGGGGTTTGTTTCTTATATGTACCAGCATTATCTTGATGATTTGAAGACCAAGGCTAAAACAAAATCCCAAGGGGAAAACTAATGTGACCTTTTGTGGTTACTAAAGAATGGAGGGGATTATAGGTAGATCGATAGAACAGTGTTTAAGCTAATTAATAGAGAATCTTTCATCTGTAGTTACTTGTAATGTTTAAGGATTAGTTAAATTCCTTCTAGTATTTACTTTATAGTTCTTACACTAACAAATATATTGGCTATGAAACAAGAGAGCAAAATTATGTATCGGTGAAATTTGATAGATTATCTCACCTAGAAACAGTGAACATGTTCGACCCAATATATATGTGAAATTATCATTTCTCTTGAACCTTAGACCCTATTTAATATTTTATCAAGAAATTTTATAACTCCCGCTGCTTATATATTTTTGCTTCTCTCTCTATCGTGTCGTCATCACCAATCAACTGAACAGGACAACAATTTATTGTAGTATGACAGTTGTGAATTTAAGGTGCATGTGGTGGTGGGTTGGTGGTGGATATGGTGGTGCATATGAGGTGGTAGTAAATTTGAGGTGCAGGTGGCGGGTTGAAGGTGCAACCTGGTGGAGTGGTGGTAGTTGAGGATTGTGGATTTGAGATGGTGGCAACGACGACAATTTGAACGGTGCAAGGGCGGTGTGGGTGGTATGAGGAGAGATGGGGTGAAATGAAAAATGATCATGATCAATTAATTGGATAATTTATGATATATTAAAATATGTGATTTGCAATTACATATTTTAATTGTGATCTATAAATTGTGCCTTTGTATATGTGACATTGTATGATTTGTAACCAATATGTGATCGTGACCATAAATTGTGTTATTGTGACATGATCTATTTAACTAAATTATACGTCACAAAAATATTATCAATTTCATAAATGTGACCATCTAATTTTAAAATGTTTTCATAATTTTTTTCTTTTTTTAAAATTGTATTTGGAAACATTTATAGTTATGAAAAAAAATTATGACTATGATGGGCCTATTAGATAAAATAATGTGGAAATTATATCAACAAAGACTCTTTAACTTTTTCAATTCAAAAATCAAGTTTAGAGTTTACTTGTAGAAAAATTAGATGATGGTTTAATATTTTAACATTAGTGATAATATTACAATTAATTTATATACTCATACCCTATCCCATCCACCTCATTCAAACCCTAAATCATTTTGGCCCTGTTTGGGAGAGATTTGATTTTTCTACAGTAAATCAATTTTCATTTTCAACCACACATTTTTCAATAAAATAATATTTTCCATCACATGAATAATTTTTTGTTCTTTTTCAACCACACATTTCCCATCATATCACTATTCAAAATCAATTTTTCCCCCAAAAATCTCTCCCAAACAAGCTATTTCTATCTTCTTCCTCTCCATTATCTCCTCTCTTCCTCTCCTGTCTCTCTCTACCCTCTCCTTCAGACCGTCATCACATGAGAGTGCCACTGCACATCTCGCAGCATCATTATTGCAGTTACTCAGCGGTGCTGCGCAGAGAAGCCGCACGACACCGTTGCGGCTCTACACAATGTCGCTGGGACCAATTGATTTGAAAATTTTTTACTGTAAAATAAGTTGTGATTTGTAAAATTTGTGATCTATATATGACCGATAAATAATACGTGATCAATTCATTTGATAATTTGTGACTGTAAAATAACTTATGATGATAATTTGTGACTGTAAAATAAGTTGTGATGTGTGAAATTTGTGAATTGTAATCGATAAATAATACATGACATATTAATTTGATAATTTGTGATCGATAAAAAAAATTGTGACCTATAAAATTTGTGATTTGTGACCAAGAGATAATACGTGATCAATTAATTTGATAATTGTGACAAAAAAAAATAAGTTGTGACTTATCAAATTTATAATTATAACCATAAATTGTATAATACTGTAACCTTAATATATTTAATTAATAAAATATTTTTCAAATAATAAATATTAATTAAGACCTAATTTTTGAAATTTTAAAATACTTTTCTTAATTTTAAATTTGTGTATTATTACTACCTTAAATATGATTTTTTTTCCCAAAACAATCTCACTAAAAGAATTGATTAAAGAGGAAATTACACAAAATCAGAATTTTAAAGAATCAATTTCGAAAATCAGATTAAAAGTTTCACTTTTCAAAAATCAGATATTTTATTTTTAAATATTAAATATTAATTGTACAATTTTCATCCAAACCTTAATTAATTTTATCCAAATTTTCTCTCTCTCTCTCTCTCTCTCCTCTTCATCATTCCCTCTTTCTTCTCTCCACTCGCAGCCGCTCTCTCTTCCACTCTCCACCGCTATCTCTTCTCACTCTCTACTTTCCTCCGATACCAAAAAAGGACTTTGATAAGGTGCTCGCAAGACAGAGGCCTACAGTGAGCAAAGCTGACCTTGATGTTCATGAGCGTCTCACAATGGAGTTCGGTGAGGAAGGCCTATTTTGAATAGTGTAGCTGTGAGATCGGTGCACCTGCGAGATCGGCGAATGATTTCCCACCTACGAGATCGGCGCAACTGAGCATTCGCTGCTCATTGTTGTCCACCTGCAAGGCCTTCCAGCTGCCGACTTTGTTTATTTCTTCTTTTGATTTTGTGGTGGCGGGAGTTTTTGAGTGAATTTGCGGTGTATTGTGAAGGCGATGACAGTGGTGGCATTGACGGTAGCTTGTTTTGGAGCTTTGTTGTTGGTGATGACTGTTGTGGTGTATTGAAGTGCAGGTGCACAATGGCAAGGCAGTGACAATGACTTGTTTGGGTATTTTTTTGTTCATGGGGCGGTTGTGGTAGGTGTTGGTGTAGGACATAATGAATTTGAGGAGATGGTTAGTACAAGCGGCGACGGTGGTAGTAGTTGTTGGAAGTGGTGGTGCCTGGTGGATTGGGGTAGGTAGTGGACTTATTAATTTGGGTATTCTGTGATTAAAAATAATGTGTGATCGATAAATTGTGACTAATAAATAATATGTGACCTAAAAATTTGAATTGTGTCTTATTAAATTTGTAATTTGTGACCGATAAATGAATTTGTAACCAAATTGTATACAATTGCGATCAAGTTGTGATGTATACATTTTTTTATTTGTAACCGATGAATAAATTGTGACTTATAGAATTTCTGAATTGTGACTCTAAAATAATTTTGACCTATAAAATTTCTAATTTGTGACCGATGAACAAACTGTGACACGTAAAATTTTTGAATTGTCACAATAAAATAATTTGTGACATTTCAATTTTTGATTTGTGATCGATGAACAATTTGTGACCTATAAAATTTTTGAATTGTGATCGTAAAATAATTTGTGACCAATTATATGAAATTTGTGATCAAATTATATGGAATTGTGACATTAATGTATTTAATTAATAAAATATATATTTAATTAATTAATTTATAAATAAAATTAAAAAAAATCTGAAATTTTAAATTTTAAATTTAATATCTTAAATTTGAAATTAGTAAAACT